AAAATAACTTATTATTGGAAGTAAATTATTTTTGATAATATATAATATATACATATACTGTATATATATAATTCATTAAACTTGAACATGTTCATAAACTTTTGAACTGAGCCTGAACTGAATCTGAACTTGACTTAAAAGTTCAATATTGAACCTGAACTGAACTTTTTTTTAAAAAAATTCAAGTTTAGTTCAATTTTGAACTAAACTTGAACTTGGCCAAAAATTCAGTTCAGTTCAGTTCATAGGAATACTACTCTAAAGTTAATTCAATAAAATATATATTATAAGAATCTGCTTCACTTTAGACATCCCCTATATTAGGTAAAATCAATACTTTTAAAAACATTAATGATATTTCTATATTTTTCACTATAGTAATGTTTATGTTTTGCCATACTGGTTTTTTTTCAAGAATTTCTTGAACTAGATATATATCTTTAAATTTTCACAAGGCTTTGTATACAATTATAGACTCTCTTTTTAAATTACAAAATATTTTACCTCCAACCAAACTTGAACTATCAACCTTGTCTGTAAAAAGATAAGAACTTATTTACTAAACTATGAAACCCAAACCCTCTTTTTTTATTTAAATTTTATGAATTTATAAAAAAATATTAAACTTAATTTAATAATTACTAAGTTACCTTTGTTTAAAAATTTCAAATCTATTAAAGCAGAAACTATATTACAATTTTTTTAAACTTTAAATAAAAATATCTTAGCAAGCAACCAACAAGTTAAATTTAATAAATTTTTTATTGTTCAAATTCTATAAATATATAAAATTTAAATAAAAAAATTCATTAAATTTGACTTAATAATTGCTAAGATATTTTCATTTAAAGTTTGAAAAAAATTATAACTCAGGTTCTGTTTTGATAAATATTTTGAATTGTTTTGAAACTTTAAACAAAGATAACCCAATAATAATTAAGTCAAAATTAATAACTTGTTTTATTTACATTCCATAGATTCATAGAATTTAAACAAAAAAAATTCATCAAATTTTGCTTGGTAGTTGTTAAGATTTCTTTGCCCAAAGTTTAAAAAAAATTTTGTATTTGTTTTGATAAATGTTTTGATTTTTTCAAACTTTGAGCAAAGATATCTTAGTAACTACTGGCAAAATTCGATAAACTTTTTTTTTATTTGAATTCTATAAATCTATAGAATTCAAAAAAAGAAAATTTATCAAATTTGGCTTGGTAATTACAGAGATATCTTCGCTCAAAGTTTAAAAAAAATAAAATCTACAGGGGGTATAAATAATAAATTTGGGGGTATAACTATAAAGAAAGCTTTAAATAAAATGCGTAATTAAATAGATATTATCAAAACCATTAAATAGTTTTTTTTTATTAAGATATAGTTTAAAAAAATGGACCAAAATTTGATGTGTATAATAAATAAAAAGAAACAGAAAATTTTAAAAATAAAATTCTAAAAATATCTAAACTGAAAACTTAATATGATACATGTTGAATTTTGGATAAATAAAGTTATTATTTAATAATCTCTTTCGTCATCATCAGCAGTAACGTCACCATATTCGAACATTCCTACCTAAATCATTTAAGCATATCAAAAAAGATGTTCACATCAGAGATAACATGAAAAAGAACACTTACCCTATCCTTTTTCGCCTGTTCCTGTACCTCAAGCAACTTCTTAACCACATTCAGATATTTTTTAATATATCCCAATTTATTATTTACCAATGCTAATCCATCACGAACCATTTCAGCATTGATTGACGCATCAGACGATTCGGATTGTGCTGGATCATATAAAGTAAGATGGAGTATATTATTATCTCGATGATCGATATTTGCAACAAGCTGTTTGGAACCAACAAAGTCTCGTAGTCTTTCGTAGGCTTCGCCACCATAGTCAGCCTGACAGATAAGATAAGTTAATCGATGACACAATGACACTATGGAATGTAGTTAATTTAATGTGTGTATATATATATTACCTCGCGGTCTGGTACTTTTAAAAAAGAGAGCACTGCCTCGTACGCATGTGGAGGTAATTGCTTAAAATTATCAGGAATCGATCGAATTCGGGATAACGGAATAGTTTCTGACTGAAAGAAGCCATATGTATATATTTATAAAACAAAAAAAAAAAAAATATATATATATATATATAATTGAACATACGTTTCCATAATCAATGTATACAACTTCTACGCTCTCTTTTTCTGGAATATTCTTTCTTATTCTAGCACGATACCTATAATAAACAAATTCATTCGTTACAATGATTTTAGACAAGAAACCACAAAACATAATATATATATATATATCTACCATTGGTCATCCTCAGTAAATTGAGCACTAACTATTTGTCCTGATTTTATCTTATCAGCACTAGATATTGCGGTAGTGCTTTTATGATAAAATCCAAATTCAGACATCATCTTTTCCAAACTACGAATGTTGCTATCGTTGACAACTTGAACATAAAAATGCCCTCCTGAAATGATTTCTGAAACTACAACATCCACATATTCTTTGCGGGGTTCAGTTTCATCGGCAGTTACTGCGACATCTATTTCACTTATAATACTCGAATCTTGTAATGCCCAAATCTATGAAAAATATATAATATATGAGTGATTAAAAAGAAGGAAACTGGTTCAATCTACATAAATTACCGACATTTTTTTTCTCGTCTTTGGCAATTTGCTCAGCAGCATATAGTTCTCTAGAGTAGGGGCTTTGATCAGCACTGAACGAATGAATAGTTGCAAGACCCTCTTGAAGTAGCAATATTGCAAAATTTTCTGTCTTATTTAACCACAATGAACCTATAAATCCGCCTACTTTATCAACATTTTCCACCTCTATCTCAACATCGCGTTGTAATACTTTACGTGTCGCAAATTCAAGTGCTTCAACAGAAAATGGCTCAGATTTATCTGCAGGAGTACGACCAGGTCGAGGACAGCGTATGCCACTAAGTACAAACGTTAGTTTATAACTTTCTTTAGTGATATAAATCTTAAATCTTGATCCGTTGTTTACAAAGTCAACAACACCGGGAACGCGACCATATCGTTGCAAAGAATGTAAAAATTGACGAGCTCTCGCTGAAGACTATTCGAAAATATCAAATTTATTAAAATGGATATGTTTTCAACAAGTAAACATATAAGGAATCATAAATCTACACATACCTCTGAAGCATCACTGATTTTATAAACCGGCGGCTCCTTTGTACTATATATACCTTTATTATTTGTTTGTGCCCTATATTTATTTTTTATTTATTTATTTATAACTGCGTTTTATGATTACAGTCACATGACAATACACACAACAAGCAATACTTGCATACTTTTGGTCAGCCATTAAAAGTTGGTCATAACAACTAGAGCGATCTTCGTCATCCTTTTTGTGTCGAATAATTTGTGCCAACCCTCGTTCGACAAGCGCCTCCGCTGGATTACTATATAAAACAACATTTATTCTATTTTTAAGCAATAATGATTACATTTATAAATAAGAACTTACAACTCCCCAAGTTTAATCGTGGCACATTCCTTTGCTTCATATCCATCAGAAGCGGGCTTTTGATAGTCAATAATTACTTTGACCTAATCATACAAATAAGTAAATACACTAATTTAAAAAATCGTATTCCATTATAAGCTTAAATGATAACTTACAGCTTTACCAATTAATTTCTTTCTTAAGAATTCTTTAGCTTCAAAATTATATTCTGGAAACTTGGGATCTTTGGGTCTATTTAAGTGAAAAAGAAAGTATATAAATAAACATTTTAAAATTTGAGAAGTGCATCAACAAAAAAAAAAAAAAATACTTTGGCTGTCGAATGCTAGATAATTGTAATTTTTTTTCAACTCCAGTGCGATTTACTCTTACATGAAGAGTGTCACCAGAGACTATACGTGTGACCTTTATTTGAGGAATGCGCGCATAAATGTGAGTGATTGTAACTTAATAAAAAGCATGCCAATAAAGAATATAGGAAGTACACGCACAGTGCCTTCAAACTCATGATCGTCGCCTCCAGCTTTACTTCTGACAACGTGGTCTTGCCAAAGACGTAGTCTCTTTTCTTTGGCTTTCCTAAGATTTATTTAAGAATAAATGCTGTCGCTGAAAATACAGATGTATAAAAGACATTGGTTGCTTACTTTTCGGCTTCGCGCAATTTAATTGGACCATCTGTAACTACGGTAATACTCCAATCTGCAACTTTGCCCAACCCTACAGCTACAAGAGATTCTGCAATATTTCCTGCAGGATGTAAAATGGTTGCATAGAAGGCTTGGTTGTTTCCAGACAGCCCCTCTAGTATCACCTTTACATTCCTTTGTAACAATCTTGATTCAACGAAATATTTCGCCTCTTCACCATAAGGTTCCACGAGATCTTCTACATCTGGAATGTCCTTCCGTACAGTAGGGGCTTTTATCCCGGATATGTTTATATTTAAATATTGTTGGGGCGCAGGTGTTGGAGGAATTAATAAGACGCGAAGACTAGACCCATCTCGTACTTGTTCAATAATGCCTTCATAAAATTTAAACAATATTCACTCATGATACAACTAATATGCGATAAAAAAAAAAGAAGACTTAAATTATTTTACCATCAATTTTTAAACCTTTATATTTGTTCAAATACGTTCGAGCATCCTCTTGTAAGATATAATTGACATTGCGAGAATACTATGTTGAAAAGTCAAATAAATTATTTATGATGACAAAGGACGTGATAAATAGATAACTAGATGACGCAATCGTTTCACTACCTTGTCTTTATCTCCCCATATTCCTTTACCTGCAGCTTGCGCAGCAGATTCCAGCGCAACAAGATTATCCACTTCTTCACCCCTACTATCATCCTTATTCTTGCGTCCATCTTCTCTAACTTTTGCCCATCCCTCTCTTACAATCAATTGGGTGATGTTTTCACTCCCAAAAAACACTGACCCATATTCTCTATTGGT